GTTGACTATGTTAAAAATGTTGTAAATGTTGTCAAAGTTAATTACGCTAATTAATGTAGATCTTTATGGCGCAGTAACTTTTACGAGGTCCGGTATCAATGCTCAACATATTATATGTAAAAAACATTATATAGGATCAATAATATATCAAAAATCATTGATAATCAAAGGTTTCCTGAACTGACTAAGGAATAGTGTAAAATATTAGAATCTGTTAATATCTCTGATCAGATTTCAGAAGATAAACATGAATTTTCACAGTCCAGAGGTGTGAAATATGATACTTTCTCTTTTACTAACTTAGAAGAAGATGGGATCATTCATATGAATCATCCTGCAGATGATGAGAATAGCACAAATTTTCAAATAAATTCTAATAGTCTGATTACAGTAACTAGCGGGAAAAAAGATAAGGTTAGTCAGAAAAAAAAGTTAGTATAAAACTGAAAGATGAATCTTCTCCTTCAGTAACTTTAGTGAAAAAAATGAAAACATAGGTAGATAATATTTGCTAAAGCAATTTAATTCATTTAGACAGGAAGCTAGACTTAATAAATTAATAAATATTACTGGAGATATTGTTATGCATCTGATCTTTTTTCTATAAGTTGAGAGTACTTTTTTGCAAGAATTTTATTCACATTTAACATTATGTCAAGCAATCTCTCAATTTTTAAGAGGTACTTTTCAAGCTCTTTGCACTTTTTTTTAAGTCCTTCTCACTAATTGGATCAGAAAAGTTAGCAGATACCTAAGGTGATAATTAATACTTCTCTTTTGGCAGATCTTTGACTACTGAAGCCTTGCTAAAGGTTAGGATAATATATGTTTTTCCATAATCCTCTATGTGAAACTGATTTTTAGTTGAATTAGAAATACCTTTGACTTTTTGAATTTCTGCTGTACCTTAACTATAACATTTGCTTGGGCGTACTATTGTTAACATAAGCATAATTTCCAATAATAGTGATGATTAGGCTCCCTTTCATGTCCTTTAGTATGACCGCTATGTTCATATATCATCCTAGTATTTATAGATATGTTCAGAATTACCTTTTACAGAGAATTTGAAAGGCTTATCAACTTTCCATCTAAGCACTTCACCAGTAACTAAATTAAATCTATCAAATTCGCTTCTATTATTTAAAAAAGATTCAGAGATTGATAAGTCATTTATACTAGCATTCAAGTATTGTAGAAATGAAAACCACTCATTTTTTTTTGACTTCTTCTCCTGAGTCTTTCGAAACAGACACATTTTACGCATTACTGGTAAAAGCTTTGGTAATAGCTGATTATATGTTTCAGGCTGACTAGTTACTAGAGGTAGCCTATTATTTATCAGTTCCTATTTTTTTTACCAATGCATAATACTACCCATTTTCTTCTAGATTATCATAATCATTCCCACCATATTTCTCATTATCTGAACTATACATGAAGTTGAAATGAAAACCCAAAAGTCGAAATGTTTCAACTTTGGAGGTCAAAGTCAAAATGAAAAGTTGAAATGGTCGAAATTATGTCATATCACATGATTTTTTATAAATAGAAAAAACAAAAAAAATAAAAGATATATGATCTCAGCCAATATCACTCCGATTCGAATGAAACAACTACCATTCGATTTCTCGCGACTAGACGAATCCAATGGGCTAACATTCATTGATTTTGGATCAGCACATCTCGAGATATTTGCGATTGTATTTCGAAATCTGGACTCCTTTATTTAAAGTAGAATTTATTGATTCATAATTTCGGCAGATAATACAATTGCGATTATCTTGAGATTGGATGATCTGAAATTAATGAATGTTAGCCCATTGGATTCGTCTAGTCGCGGGGAATCGAATGGTAATTGTTTCATTCGAATCAGAGCGATATTGACTGAGATATTAATCTTTTATTTTTTTTTGTTTTTTCTATATATAAAAAATCATGTGATATGATGTCATTTCGACCATTTCAACCATTTCAGATATCCATTTCAACTTCATGTATAATCTGAACCCAAAGGCGTGAATTGGGGGTTTATAGGTTCAAGAGGTTTGAAATAAGACTAATTGAAATTAGATCGCATAATTGGTTTATTAGAGTAACTGCCTTTATTATGACCTATTTTCTCACAAATATCACATTTATGAATATTTAGTTTCTTAAAATTGATTGTTAATTGATTTATAGCATCACGAGTTTCATCAAGTCTATTTTCAATCCTATCAAATCTACTATAGTTATTGTTTCACTGTAAACGAGATCCTTGAAAAGGTTTTACAAGATAATTTGAGTCTAAATCTTCCTTATTAAGTAAATTCACTTTTTTTAAATATTCAGCTGCATAATAATTTTTTATATCTTCCTCTGTTTTTAATGAAGATGATAGACCTTTCAGTTGTCTAACTAGTTTAACTGTTTGTAAAACAGGTAGCTGTACTTTCTGTGATTAAAGATCACTTCTTAGTTTTTCCATTTCAGCTTTATGATCAGCCTGCTGTTTTGCTAATTTGCTAATTTATCTTCAAACATTTTTTGTATATCAGCTAAGATAGATACCAGTTGAGAAACTGCTGAAGTTACAGATACTTATAGAATATAAAATTGTATAGATGCTTACCTCCATTCAAATTTTGTTCACGTTCCAACTACATATTTTTTTAGCTTGATAAAAAATACATTAATGCTTGCAGGATTGGCAATTCTTATCATTATAAAAAAATCACTGGTTAATTGACTCTTAAGAAATCCCAAAACTTGTGCATCATTGTCTGCCACTCTCAATAATAGTGGATAAATTCTAGCTTCATAAGTATCGGGATTATCATAAGGCTGATATCTTTCTTGAGTCAACCTTTGAATAGCCGATTGCTGATTTCCAACTGACTCTTGCTGGTATTTTGCTCTCATTTAAGTTCGTAAGGTATCTGGAGAATTTATAGCTGGATTATCTCCTACAAGATTATTATTAGCTGATATTGGAGCATATTTTCCTCCCATCATAGATTTTAAAATATCACACTTGACTGCATCGTCAAAATCCTCTGCATTTGCAATTTCAAGAGCTGTCATATATCCTTCAAGATATACCTATAATTGAATAATCTTATCTAAGTATTCATCAGCGATGCTTGACCTATATAAGGTTTAAATTTTGCAAGAGTAGGAGCCATTAATTTTAATACTAGTAAACGTCTACCTTCTGCCATATTTAGTAGATTATTCTGAAGCGCTAAAATTTGGTTCTGTAAATTTAAAATATTTTGGTAAGAGATTATTTCTCAAGCCTTCCATTTTTGATACTGATTAAATACTCAGGCTCAGTTGAATTCTACCAAGTCAGTCTCAGCTTTATGCTTTTGATTTATTAGCTGAAAGGCTATCTTTTTTTATAATAATTTACCAATATAGGTTTACTTTCTGTTTGCCAAATTCTGAGTATTAGTCTGTAACTCTTGAAGGTTACCAATAACTCTTTGTTCCACTTCTTCAACAAGATTTCTTTGTATTATTTCATTATCCCTTTCAGCCTCAGCATTTTATTGTTTCCATTGCTCACAATATAAGTTCTGATGCAAATTATTCTCTTTTTGACAAATCTGTCTTGTTGTCCTTTTTATTTGACCAGCCAAGATTTCTTTATCTATTGTTGGATTATCTAGATAACTATCTATAGTGTTTGCTAGCTCTGTGATTGTAGCCATATTATTATTAGAATTATACAGGTTAGGAGAATTCCCTTGTACTGGTGAATTTTCCTTGATGAGATAGTTCTGATCTGATATTGCAATTTTTCTACCTGCTCCTCAGATTTTACTAACTGCTCTTCTAAACTAGAAATATATTTTCCTTTATCTTACACATCTTTCTTAGCTTGATATAGCTGACTTTTTAGGATAGAGATTTCAGATTTTAACTCTACTATCTTCTCTTCTAAAGCATTTTCAAGATGCTCTATCTTCCTATTGAGATTTTGGATTTTTTATTCATACTAGGAATAATCTCACTCCAGTTGATTAATTCGACTCTCATTCTGATGATTAGTATTAACTTCTGTTTGCAATTCACTATGAAGATGATAGTTTTCCTTCTTCAACTCAGCTTTATATTTTTCACAGGCTCTTCTCTGTCTTGGATGAGATCTGCAAAATAACATTTTTTTGTGATTATATAGAAAGGTAGGAGAACCGGTTATTTATATTAGTTCCTAAAAAGCTCATGATTTAGACCATCACCTTGCCTTACAAAAGCTTTATTATTGTTCTGAAGGCCTTTATCAATATGTTAAAGGATTGTGAGATGCTTGTAAAAAAGCCGACTACAGCTTTCCATTTACTAATGTAAAAAAATGGCTTGATAAGCAGGCAATATACCAAATTTTTCGTCCTTTACCAAAGCATGTACCTTACGCTAGCTACTCTAAAATTACAAAACTGAATTCTGTATACCAGTGCAATTTAATTGAAATATCATATAATGAAGATGTAGATACAAATTTGCTGGATAATGGGCTAATATATTACTATGTATTATTAGTTATAAACTATGTGGCTAGATATAAAGATTTCATTTTTTAACATCAAAAAGTAGTGAAGAAGTTGCAGAAGCTTTTAAGAGTCTATATGATAATTCTGACAATCCTCTCAACTGGCCTCAAAAATATAATATGACCAAGGTCGTGAGATTATAGGAAGCGTAACATTGATAATGAATGAACATAATGTTAACATTTGAAGGATTATAACATGTTTTAGACATATAAACTTGGCTATAGTTGATCATTATGCTGGATTATTCGAGTTTAGAATTTTTAAAAATTAGTATTCAATAGAGTTTCTCCTATCTACTAGTGAATATTATAAGGAATGTGAATGATTTACAAGAAGAATTATTAATAATATGAATGATACACTAATTCAGTTTATTAGAATGAGTCCTAATGATGCCACAAAACTTAAGCGGATGTATTCCAAGCTATCAGTAAAGATAATCATCTGATAGGTATTGATGAATCACAGCTACCAAAGGATATTACTATCTGATTTTTGCTTGCCTCTGAAGAGTAAAAAAATGATCCTTTTGAATGACATAGAATAACAAATCTAATATGATTTTCCAGCCTACATAAAATTCAAAGAATTGTTGTTGAAAAGAATCCTCTAATGCCTGTTTTGTATTATTTAGACGAATCAGGACCTCAGTGTCTTTTTGTAAGAGAACAATTAATGCATATTAAGGAAGAGCCTATATTGCCTCCTAGGTGGATATTGGAAGATAACTGAATACGCATAAGGCACTCCTTATAAAAGTTTTTAAGTCTACTACACAGTAAGAGATTGTAATAAGAATTACTTCTTCCCGATAATATAACACTCTCTTTTCTCAATTATGTCAGATTTGTGCATCTAGATTCATCTGTTCTTACGAGTGAAAAAAAACATGATTTAGTAATGTTAGTTACCATTATATTCGAAGGCCAAATCTAGTTCTTTATTGTATCCATCTAGGTGTAAAGCTTCTAAAAGTCTAGGTTTTTGAGTGGGAATTTTTTATTTAATAAATCTTCAAATATATACTGATATATTCTTTCCAATTTATTAGGGCAAATATTATACCATCTATGATTCTGTTTCATATTTTTATATGATACCTCCCATTGATGACCCTTTTTACATATCTATAAATAAATGTTAGAATTATTACTAATTCTAGCTAAGCACCTTCCTTCATGTTTTTGGATATAGGCTAAAGCTTTGGTATCAATTCTATTATGATATTGCATTTTATAAACGCAGAAGAATCGATCTGAACATATGCAAATCCAGATTGCTAGTTCAGAAGTAGAATTAAACTTGACTACTAGTATTACATAAGCAAAAAAAGATAAATATCTCTAGTATTTTTAGCGGAAGTGGGATTGGGCTTCTGCTTTATATTGATATACAGAACAAGACGAAGAGGCAGGTTCTCGTCAATATACTCATGAAAATTGGGTAAGCTATAAACTTCGGATAGGTAATTAACAACTGTAAAACCCTTTTCTGTTACCTGAATTATATATTTATCAAAAATCTTTTCAGGATGATAGGCTTCCAAAAGTGTCACATTCTCTCTAATATTAGATGTCAATAAATGTTGAAAATATATATGATCATTATCCCTTAGATTGTAAGTTTCGCAAGCAAATTTGCCTGCTTATTTACTATAAATTCTCTTCTGATTTATTTTTATAAATAATTAAAGTTTTTTTTGTTAAATTAATTATATAAATATGTAATATATTATAATAAGTTTTATCTTTAATTATATAATAAAAAATTTAATGTTACTTAGAAGCTAAAAATTTGTATTATTTAAAAAAAATTGGTTTAAAAAATTTTATGACTTTAATTAATAATAAAGTAATTCAATTAGTATGCAAATATATGAATTTTTAAAAAATTATTATAAAAAATTTTTTGAAACTTAATTTTAAAATTAAATTATTTTAAAAACCTTTTTAAAAACTTAAAGTCTTTTTTAATAAAGTTGATAAAATATATATTAAGCTATATTTTTTTATATAGTAATGATATTAATAAAATTAATATTTAACATTTTATAAAGAAATTAATTTTTTTTTAATTTCGCAGACAAATTTGCCTATTATACAGTATAAGAGATAGCATTAATTTATTCTTCTTATGACACTTTGCCAAAATCCTAATTTATTGTTACAAAAAAATAATAATACTTATAGTTATATTGTCTCTTCTCTTCAACTAAGTAGTCAGTTTTCACATTCCTAAAAAATTTTAATGTAGCCATTTTTTATGATGATTTGTAAAAATTAAAAAATTTAGAATAATTTGAATTGATAGAGTAAGTAAGAATAGAATATATTAGAAGTTTCAAAAGTAAAAAATTAAATGATAGTAAAATATTTTTCTTTAAAAATAAATTTCTTTATTATTGAATCAAAATTCTGATTTAATATTTTGAATAATACAATTAACTTACAATCGAAATACTCAAACTCTTTCTGATTTAGTTTCCAAAAACAATTTAACTATCATATTATTTAGGGTTCCTCAAAATCAAATCAAATCAAATATTTAAGCAATTTGAATTTGATTTGGTTTTTTCAAATTGAATCAAATCGAATCGAATTGAACTCAAATATTTGATCGAATCAATTTGAATCAATTTGAATTTGATCGAATCGAAT